AAAGAAAAATGCAAGCCTTGAATAGTAATATTGATGAAGGATGCAGCCAAGAAGTCAGAAAGAATACACAGAATAACTATACAAAAAAGAACTAGTCAACATTCAACATTCAACCATTTCAAGACGTAGCATGTCAACAAGAACCAATGGTATTGAAGGAAGAAGTTCAAGTGCTCTGACATTAGCTATAAACAAGTCTTCAGGAATTGATTGGATACTAATTGAAGTATTTCAACAACCTGATGAAGTACTGAAAGCACTTACTCATCTTTGGGAGGAATTTTGGAAGAGGGGTACTTGGCCAACTGACAAAAAGAGATCCATATTTGTACCCATTCCAAAAAAATAACAAGGAATGCACAAATTATAGAACAATATCATTAATACTATTGTATCCAAGAAAATTTTGCTGACCATCATCCAACAAAGTGGTATCTTGACAGGGAATCCCCAGAGTTTTGGGACAGATTTAGAAGAGAACATGGAATAAGGGATCTCATTGCTGAGATAAGATGGGTCTTGGCAGAAAGCAGAGAATACCAGAAATGTTTATTTATGTTTTATTGACTATACAAAAGCATTCGACTATGTGGATCTTAACAACTTGGATGACCTGGGGGAAATGGAAATTCTAGAACATTTCATTGTGCTCCTACAGAATTTCTACGTGAATCAAGAAGTTCTGTGAACACGAAAAGGAAATATACTGTATCGTTTAAAATCAGGAACGGTATGCCTCGGGGTTATGCCCTCTCAACCTAGTTATTTAATCTATATGCTAAGCAAATCATCAGAGAAACTGGTAAGAGAAGGCAGCATCGGGGTCAGAGGAAGGCTTACTAACAACCTGAGATATGCAGATACACACCCTTGCTTGCTGAAGCACTGCCTGTTGAAAATCTAGAGTGAAGCCTTCAGTGTGGACTGCAACTCAATATTAAAAAGATCAAAATCCTCCCAAGTGGACCAATAGGTAACAGGTTGAAGTTGCCAAGGATTTTGTCTCGCTTGGATTCACAATCAATGCTCTTGCGAGCAGCAGTCAAGAGATCAAATGATGCATTGCATTGGATCAATCTGTTGCACACGACCTCTTTCGGAGTGTTGAAAATCAAGGATATCCCTTCAAGCTCTCAGGGGCATCTGGCCCACGCCTTGTTTTCAATCACCTCATAGGCATGTGCAGGTTGGACAGTGACTAAAAAAAGCCGAAGAAGAGTAGAAGCATTTGAATTATGTTGTTGGAAATAAATTTTGAAAGTACTGTAGACTGTCAAAAGTACATCCAGAATTATCTTTAGCGGCATGGATAGCAAGATTTCGTATCATTGAACACATTATTTCATCCATTTACATAGGTCTCTTGCTTTTATGTTTTATAGTTTTCCTTGTTCAGGTCTTGTGTTTCTCTGGTTACATTTATTCCTAAATATTCAATCTTTTGAGTAGCTACTGTAAATGGTAATGTTTTACTGATGTCCTTTTTAAGAGCCCTCTTCATTAGTATACAGGAATCCAATTCATATGTGACTGTTCATTGTATACTCTGCTATGTTGCTGAATTATTTAATTGGGTCCAGCAAATTCCTTGTAGGGCCTTGAGTCCTGTATGTACGTAGTCAGGTCATCTGCAAAGAGAGAGGGTTTTGTTGTTTCTTTCCCAATTTGGATGTCTTAGATTTCTCTGTTTTGTCTTACAGCTCTGGCTAGCACCGTTATTACAAATATTGACTAAGAATGGTTAGAAAGGTCTAGTTCCTGTTAGGAAAGGGAATCTATGCACATTGCATGTATATTTTAATTCTCAGTTTTTAAAGAAATTTTTTAAATTTCGTTATTTGTTTTTGCAATTACTCAGTAGTTATGAAGCAGGGTTTTGTTCATTTTCTATATATTTGATTTTGCTTTTCAATCCTTTTATTTCTGATTTCTAGTTTTGCAGTGCTTTGATCTGAAAAGATCTTTGTACTATCTGGATTCTTTAAATGTATTAACACTTATTTTGTGGCCTAGCATATGTTTTGTTCTGTAGAATGTTTCATGTGCACTAGAAATGAGCAAATATTGTACTCATTGATCTGAGGGTTCTGTATATGTCTAAAGGGTTAATTCAATTAATTGGGTTCAGTTTTTCTGTATATTTTTAGTTTATTTCTAGTTGTTCTGAATGGTGATATAATCATCTAATATCATTACAGTTTTGTGAATTTCTCTCCCCAATTCATAAAAATTTGGTTAATGTATTTTGAAGGTATTTTATTGAGTTCATAGATATTTCTTGTAGTTAGGTCTTCATGTTCAGTTGTCCCTTTAACCATTATGTCATGCCTTTATTTGTTTCTCATGATGAATTTTGCCTTGAAGTCAATTTTATCAGAGATTAATATAGCTACTCTTGATTTCTTTAATTGCCATTAACTTGATATATTTTCCCATCCTTCTTTTTTAAATCTTTTTTTAAATATAAGTTGTATTTCTTATAAGCAACATATTGATAGGGTCTATTTCTTTATCTGGTTTGCTACTCTCTGTTTCTTGACTGGTGTATTTAATCTACTTGCATTCAGTATTATTATTGAAAATATGACTTCAGTGCTGTCATTTTGTTATGTGTTTTTGTTTTCTCTAGTTCCTCATAAGTTTCTGTGTTGAGTTCAGTTTGCTTATGGGGTTGTGTGTGTGTGTGTGTGTGTGTGTGTTGCTTTTTCACTGTGCTCTTATTTTTCTGTTCATAGGTGTTCATGATTTTCCTCTTTTTAATTTCAGTTTTTTCCATTTTCTTTGAAGCTAACATATTATGTACTATTTTCTTCTCAGGTTTGAAAGAGTCTGACCTTTCTGAAAATCTACTTGACCTCCTTTCTGTTCAAATGATTTGTATCTACACTATTCCTCTAGTTACTATAACATTGACTTCAGTACTTGTGTAGTGTTGCCCTGATTTCTTTCATTTTTTTTCCCTCCTCGTGGTTTTCTGAAACTTTTTCTCCAGTCATTTAAAGTACTCAAGAATCATTTTTCTGAAATCCTCTTTTAAATACTTCTGATGCTTTTCCTTCCTCGGGAAGCTCTTTTGGCTGTGTATATAGGTAACATGTTTTCCCCATACCATCTGGTTTCTTCATGTAAACTGAAATTGTCTGCTGTCTCTGAGACATCTTGTTGTTTTAAATTTGTTTTGATCTAGTGAACAAGCAGCAGTGGAGAAGGTGGTGGCCTTGGCCCTATTCGTGTAGCCATTGCAGGTGGGAGGAGGTCTGGGCATTGTGGGGCAGTTCACGTTGTCACTGGAATCAGGAATATCCAAGTAGAACTCAGAAGCCGCTTTCTCGTTCGCAGTCATCAGTGAGTGCTTATCCAGATGTGCTCAGGAAGCTCGAAGCAGGAGCATCGTCTCAGACATTCAAAGGTGAGGGTGGAGACTTCTCTGGTCAACCGGAGGTTGTGGAGAGTTAGGGCCATTTCCACCCCGGTTCCATCCTGTGTCTCTTGCTAATGGCTCATCAAAACAACCAAAAGTGGGGGTGGGTGGGGGCAGCTGAGGGTAGAATCAGAAAAGCAATAAAACTCAAAGTCAGAATTGGTCACTGCTTTTTATCAAGACCCTCATCGCATGGGAGACTTCTGTAGGGGCCAGGAGTGTGGGTGCTCTCATTTGTAATGGTCTGCCTTTCTTTTCCTAGAGCTTGCAATTTATTAAAACAAAAGACAGAAGAAAGAAAACCACAAAATGCACAAGGAAATTGCTGTCAATCCTCCAGCTGTGGAGGTGCTTTTAGTCAGAGGGCATTGCAGTGGGTCAAAGCCTCCACCAAAGTCAAACGGCAAGTCACAGCCTCTGGTGCTGTCTGACCAGGTGAATGTATGGCCCTGCATCTTTTCCAGTCACCAGTGAATCATGGGCAACATGGGATGATTCCGTCTACTCTACATTCATAGAAAATTTCTTGAAACTTCCAAAGGACACTCAAGAAGTGAATAACTAGACTCATCTGTTAGAGGAAATATATTTCCTGGAAAAAATAAATTGACAGAAAACTCTAGAACTAAATGATATCATTGGCACTTCTGCTTTTACAAAATAAAAATTGGTAATGAGTATGCTTACCCAAACTCTCTATGCATATGGTTGCTCTAGCTATAAATATGAAACTTGTGTTAATCACATAATTGATAATTTACTAAAATGTGAAAATATGAGTACATATAAGAATATTGCTCACTAGAGGGATGTTAAAACCAAATATCACTCATTGACATCAAGTTGATGTGAACCTGTGGAACAGGGTGGAATGGCCCCTGTGAGTTTCTAAAACTTACCTGTAGAAAGCCCTGGTTTTCTCTCACCAAGCAGCTGGTGATTAGCATTCAATGAATACCCACTATGTCACCAGGGTTAGCCATGCAAAAGTTCAGTTTTAATTAAGAAATCTATAACCCCATCTTTAGTAGTACATTATTAATATTACATTATTAATTTTATTTATGTTTTCCTTAATTATTACAATCACTATACACATTGATATTTTTATTTTTCTTTGGTGTAAATTGTTAGTACATGCCTTTTACCTGAGGTGTGCTTGTGTGTATGTGTCTGTGATTTGCCTTTTATATATTAATGTGGGAGAATGCCTTGCTGTATGCTGCACATTTTGTTTACTTATTTGTTGAACTTTTTCATAATTAATAACTATCATTTGACTTGAACTTTCAAGTAATTTATAATGTTCATTTTTAACATGATCAATGTTGTGGTATCAGTTCGATAGAAAAAATCACTACCAAATCAGAGATGTCTTGTTTACGTCGTATGTTACCTTATATGTATTTGTTTTGATACTCTGCATTTCAATCCAGTCACTTGCTTCCACATTTTTTAACAATTCAACATTGATTCAGTTAATACATGCTTGAGTTTTCATAGTTCAAATATCTGATATTTGATCAGATAGTTCAAATATCATAGTTCAAATGCCTTTTCACAAAGATCAGAGACTCACCTCACATTTTGAAGTACAGCATGCTCCAGAACCACATTTTACTGAATCTTTCAGCTTACACGTGCTATAATCACAGCACTTTTTAAATTGACATTCCTGTAATTTTAGAAGAAACATTACTCCAGCTTCACTTATGCGCTCTTACTTTTAAATCTAAATTTCTGTTTAATATCTTCTTGTGTTCAACTTTTTAATTACACAATATAATTGTAAGCAAATATGCTTTCAAGTTTACTATTGCTAGAATA